CCTCAATTCAACCTATCAGGTCTTAAAAAATGAAGAAAAGATCCGTGAGACTTTGCTGATGGCCGTACTTATTTAAGCCAACTACGGCTCTTCGACATTGGAAATTTTTCTATACCAATTTAATAAAATTCACAAAGCCCCTACCACTAACGGAGGAAAATCGATGAAGAGTCAGCCGTATAGAAACAAAAACCAAGCAAAAAATAGAGGCAGATGAATCAGGTTCGATCTTAATTATTCGAATAAAGATAGTCAATGATGAAATATTAAGTCTAAGCATGTGTAGTCTGATACATAATGATTGAATGTAATTGAGAGAGGATTTTCACCTTGAGATGTGTATGATGTTATCTTTCATAATTTAAGCGAAACTAGCGTGTGCATTTTCAAGGTCAAGTCGACAGGAGGTACATAGTAAGAAACCAAGATAATGGAGGGATATTAGACTCTACGTATTATAAAGCAGTTAGTTTGTCTGGGATTAGCATCAGTGGAACATCTTCATGCATCAATGAGAATTGTTAAAGCAGAATCTTCAATATTTGAGACTAGTGATTAATTTTTTTTGATAATATTCTAACTGAGTGAGAATCTGAATTATCAAATTGTTAGGTTCATCAAGCCTCCATCCGGACTATTGAAAACTCTGGCAAAAGTGTTTGATCTTAGGACTGGAAGTTTCTCAGATTTCACACACATGAACACGGTATATGTACGGAAGTGATTTGTGTATTACACAAGAGTATTTGATATGAGCGTTGTTGATTGATTTACAGGAAACTAACAACTAAAACTAGAAATTATCATGGACACAAGTTGGCTCTGAATTAATGAAAACCTCCGAATGAATGAGAACCAGGGGAAAAAGTTGCGAGACTTGAATGCCTAGAAAGCATAACCGCCGGACTACAAATTCATGCGTCATCAATATATTGCTATCGACGCTATAGTAACACTGTCTGGTCCAACACACTAAACTTCGTTGACTGCTCGCCCCTGCCGTTCTAAAAGCTCACAGTAACTTCCCCATGCATATCTCCCCAGGATTATCTCATGCTAAAAGGACGATAGAGCGATTTGGACTTGCTGTTCTTCGCAGGAAGTGGCATATCGCTCGCAGGTTTGTCCGAGGCGAGTTCATTTCTCGAAGTCTCCACGCCAATAGCGTCCTCTATAATTAGTGCTTCGGCCATCAGTTTATCACCAGCAGAGTCTTCGCTGACAGTTTTCTCGATAATAGGTTTAGCGCTAACCTTACTCTCGTTGGTAGACTTATGGTCTATAGGTTTGCTGCCGGTCTTGCTTTCGTCAAGAGCTTTCTCGCCCACAGACTTTTCACTGCCAACTTTTTCTCCAATGTGCCCACCACCAACAACTTTGTTTTTTACCACCTTATCTTCGGCGGCCTTTTGAATTATCCCCAGGCTTGTAGGATTATTAAGATTGCTTGGCTGGTATTGTTTGAGGAAGCTTGTGTAGGGAGAAGCATAATCTGACGGGGAAGTTATGGGATTGTTGCTAATTTTCGGCTTCTTGTTAAGACTTTCCGGAATAGTGTTGTAAGCCTCACTGATAGGTTCGGGCCTTTTCGAATTGACTTTTTGGAAGTGATTTGCCTTGTCGTCTTGCTGCACATTGACGGGAATAGACATGGTCTCCTTGTCTTTTCCGATATAGTTAACTTTCGTATTGCGCTGATTGCGATTGCTAGAGACGGATGTTTTTCCCTTGGTTGTGCTCAGATTATTCTCCGCGGCATTGGGCTTCTTACTACCAGTATCTGTGACTCTTTTCCGTGTTTTCTCTCCCGCACTATCGAGCCCCTGTTCGGCTGATCGTCGATCGAAAGATCCGCTTCTTGTTTTGTTTGCTTTTGTAGCTCTTACTTTGCGTTGATTGCTAGGACTATTAATATGTTTCCTAGGATTGACCGGGAAGCTAAAATGCCTAGTTGTGTCTCTAATATGTACAGAAGGTATTATTTCTGAGGAAGAACGCTCAAATTCATAGTTATCTTTAGGAGACGGGACAAGTGAACTTCGATGGCGGTCATAATCTCTCAACTTGAGGCTTTCGATAGGTGTAGCCGTCGATTCCGGTGATGGCGTATCTAAAATTACAATCAAATCGTTGTTTGGGGCACTAAGGGAGATTCTGGTATCAGAGGATCGACTTCCGGTCTTGGTGCGTATTTTGCCGCTATGAGACTGCGCTAACTGTCCATCGTGAGAGGTCGGTAAATCTTTTCCATGGCTGTCTCGACCACTAAAAACTGGCTTGAGTGCTGGTATATTAGTCATAGGACGTTTGGATCCACCACCAAACCCTTGAGCTCTATTCGGGTACCTGTCATCTCGACTCTGTGGTGCAGGTAGGATGAAGCCCACAGGAACTTGAGAGGCCTGTGAATATTCTATACCGTCGTTATATTTACCACCCGCCATATCAAAAATATTGCGTGATGGCTTATCGCGAGCAGTGGGTGGTTGGTACTGTACACCGGGGTGTAAGCTAGGCGACTGTTTACCTTTGACTGATAGGGTGACTGGCATTGCAGAATGAGGTTGCTCCTGAATCGATTGAGAATATCTTGGCAGTTGCAGATGTCCCGTCTTCGGCTGCAGTATCGATGGAGTTCCGGATGAATTTGTTCGACTTGGGTGCATAATATTATCGCCTGAGTTTCCTCGTCTTGTGCTGTATCCTGCGGGAAAAGCTTCTACATTTCTCGGATTATCCCTGCTCGCAGGCGTCATGGGACGGGGAAAGTAACTGCCCAATGGTATGGATCTCTCCTCTGAAACTTGCATTATATTTGCAGAATCGATGCTACTGATTCTAGCATAGTTTGCCGCTTCTGCCATTGTTTCCATGTTTGGAAGGACAGAAAGACCTGTTGATAGTTGTCGTTAGTATGTGGATTAAATGGAAAGAAGACATGCACTTACCCCGAGTATGGCGGGCTTGATTGACTAAATTGTTCTTGATATTCCAAAACCACCCAAGATGGTCAATCATCTGATCGATAAACGCGCCATCTTTCTCTAGCCTTAATTCCCACTCAAGATCAGTCCAGACTTTATGCGCCGAGGCGAAAATATCATTTGGTGTCCAAGGTGGTTGGATAGGACGTGGAGAATGAGTTGCATGAACTCTGGGACGTGTGGAGACCCATGAATAAAATTGAAGGATATTTTGGTACACACGAAACAGATCATCTGCGGCCTTCTCATTGCCTGGATTCAAAATACCGATTCTTTGAAGTTCATCAATGATATCATGGGCCCAAGCAGTGATCCTATGACGATTCATCGATGGGAGATCGTTCTTGGATCGCGCAAATGGGTTTAACATATTGTAGTTTCTCAATTTTTGTATTTTGATGGACAAATCTTTGGAATATTGCTGTGTTTTTGAGGAAGACGTTGTCAATGTCTTGAACTGGAATTCTGTCTGTATATCCCATTCCATTCAACGGCTAGCGTACGGCCAGATCAAATCTTCCAACCAATATGAAAAATTTGACTTCCAAGCGAGGTCAGCCAGTGAGAATGGGTCACACCATGTGGTAATTTTGTTTACAAGAAGTGAATAAAGCTGGACATGGGACGATATGCTAAGAACAAGTCCGAGCTTTCATGAATATTACATGCTTTATTTTAGTGTTTGCAACTAATGTTGTAATCTTTACGCCAGATAATGATCTAGTGAATTTTGGTGCATAACAGATACTTTGTTGTAATGCATATCAATAAATGGTCACCTTGTCTTACATGCTCAATGAGTTTAAGCTCAAATTTCCATCTTTCCATTTACATATTTCTGTGTTACCACTGAAGCACCTCGAACGTACGATTCAATGAATTTATTAAGTCTATGCAAATTGGTTCACTTGAAGATATGATGTCACAAACGAGAGTGAAGAAGCTCGATTATCTAAGTGTCGCTTGCGAAAGGGGCTCTGATCCCTAAGATGAATACATAGCATTATCCTGTGCTTTGAATAAGAGATAATTGTTGCTAAAGTAAGCCGTCTTAAGAACCGCAGCTAATTACATCTCTAAACCAAGAAGGATCAGTATCTCAGTGATGGTTGCCAAGACAATTAGACTTGGAGCATTCACGAGAAAGAGCCGCCTTTGGCTCTTTGTGATATTTTGAGGTTGGAATTTCATAGATGGGCCAAGCAAAAAAATGACCGAGAGGAAACCTACGAGGAGGGGGATGGGAAGTATTCGCAAATAGAGTCAAGTGTTATGACCCTTGACTCGATTTGAATTGCTATTCCTTAAAACTGGCTTTACCGATAGACCACTAGTGGTATATAGACCATTGGGATATTGCATAAACTAGCTTGTGAATCTCCTCTTGATATATCAAATCATTTATTTTAAAAATCGCTACAATTCCTTGATTAAAGATGGAACAATCAAAGTGTGAATTTTGATATAAAACAGTTGAAGAATGAATTTACTTAAAATATTGAAAATTGAGAAGTATCCTGTCAATACATACACCCACTGGTGGACTACAGGTAGAATTCAATCAATGCCCGGTGACCAAAGATTTGAGCACATTCACTCATTAGAGTGTCACCAATAACAACTGAATAGAATGAATACGGCAGCAGACTTACAGGTTTACCCCTCAACATTAAGCCAATCAGTACTGCGTTTGGTACGGAAAGTTGTGAATATATCTGACTTGATCATACGATTTACCATTCAACGAATCATTACTACTAGACGAATGCGTACTGTGGCAATGAAAATTGGAATTTTAGCGAAGCACGTTCGTCTAAAAATTAGAAATTTAACAATAGAGCCCGGACTTTGCCCTCAATAGCAATGATTGAAGCACCTGCTTAGTAAATTTTTCTACCACGCACAAAAGGATTGCTTGAGAGAACGTTATTCATTTTCAGCGACTCGACACCCTCTTCAATCATTCATCTCCCAAAAGAAAAGATTCAACAGGCGGGCTTTGCATAAAAGCATATAATGAGCTTCCCCCTAAGAGAAGTCTGGAGCGAGCTTCTGCGCTCTACCTCAAATAATGAAGCGGTCCTGAAAGAGCTTCTTGAAGGTCGCCCAGAGATCGAACGGGCGGTAGATTTAAATTGCACATTTATGAATTATATTTCTATCATCTACAAGGTCTTTAACATAAAGATAGAAGGTGGACAGATTGATCCAAGAGGTGTGTAAGATAGCGATTTATAAAAGAGACCAAAATTGACAACTGCGTCGACTTAGTTTGGCTACCCAGCGACCACGAGTTTATCGAAATGTTAAAGTTATTGGTACGCTATATAGACGACATCACTACTTGGATTGAGGACCATGATAGAACCGGCGCGCCTTGGACGTCTATTGGTGGTAAGCATCAGTGTGCCACAGATCTAGGGAACAAGCTGACAAATTGCTTAGAATTCTACGCAGAGTCACTGCTCGAAGTCGACGCGCAGTGTCAGAGATGGTGGGTATTGGCCGATATGACCATTTTCAATCCGACCACCACTCCGTTTAAGGTACTTCCAACGATGCCGCTTAATGAAGAAAGTGTCCTGGAAAAATTCGATCCCGCTAACTTCAACCGGTTCCAAGGTGCACGATCATTTTCATCCATGGAAAATAGCCCCATGGACAGAAGTACAGACAGAAGTACATTTGAAGCTCCGCTGTCGCCAGAATTATCATTAAAACAGCGTCAAACTCCCTCTACTGCTTCCTCAAGTTTCAGTTACCAACCCGCAACGATATCCCTCGACAAAGGCCAGATAGCAGCCGACTTTACTGATAGTTGGAATGGTGCCGGACATTCAAGCTTTTTCTCGCACAATTCGTATGGTGATATAGATCAGGACTTCCTATATAATAGCGACGTCGAACCTGGAGGACTTGATGTACAGCAGACTCCCGTTTTAATTCCAACGACACCGCGATTAGAACAGAACGGATTCGTAACATCACATAATCCGAGTTTATCATTCCACTCACCTGTTGAAAAGCGAAGCGGATTCTGTCAACCAATTCCTCCGCCTGCTCGAAAAATCGCTATACCACAGCTTCAAAAACAAGGAACTTTCGAGCCACTTTTTCCACCAACCGAACATTCCGAACTTCGTCCTTCTCTGCCTACTCCACAGACTTCCACTTATGGACTACATAGAAAGCGAGGCTACTCGAAAATTTCGCCGCAAGTTTTGAATGAAAACCCAGAAAAGAGACGAGCAGTAGCCACAGAGATGCCGCAGCATAAACCGGGATACACTGGAATGCAAGAGTTTCCACCTGGCTCTAAACTTTCGCCTGATAGTTTGATGCATGGCTCATCTGGCAGCGCTCCGGGATTTTTCAGTGGATCCTACAATACCAATTATTCAGCCTCGACAGCTTTCAGTCCCTTCAAGAGAAGCGCGGAAACGCTGCAAACTAATCACAATACAGTTCCACACAAAGTTGCGATCGGTTCGCAAATGGATTGGAGCAACATGGTTTCAACCGAAAATTGCCCAAAAGGGAGAGCCAGAAACATCGTTGCCACACAGCAGGACTGGAACGACATTGTGTCAGCCACCTTTGACTCAAACGCAGGTCTCGAAATTTCAAGTCCAAAAATTAGTCGCGATCCCTCGAACTTACCAGGAACTCCTATGATGTGTACAGACATGAATATAGGATATGGACGCCCGGCTACCTCCCAGCAGCCAATGTACTTCAGCTCACCAGTGCACTCCTCACCGATAACAGGAAGTAATTCAAGGGGGTAATGTATCCGGCTTCATCCCATTAAATGGAAGTCGACTAATACTTGGTTTATTAGTGCTGGTCATAAAAGCTCACGACGACTGCACCACAGTGCAGTCAAGAGAGACTATGTTTTAGGTGAAAATCAATTTTTTGAAAACTCCCAGTCAAATTGTTTCAATCCATGGTAAAGTGTTTACTTGTCTATGTAAATCGTCAGAGAATAGGATTGTGTTATTAGAGTTTGCATCGTCTGAGTAGCAGACAAGTACTGTGGTAAAGAAGCAGAATTGGAAATGATCGCGAGGTGTATGCTTTCTCATTGCGAAGGATCGGAGGTAGGACCAAAATTGTGGGTAAATGTGTGGATAGGACTCAGGGGAATTTAAAAATAAAGAGCATATGCTTGATGCTCTAAAAATTTCAGACACGACTCTTCAGTTTGCACTTTGTAAAGCTTTGGAAAGTGGCATGCTCATACCTCTGCATTTGTATGTGTCTCCAACTTTGGGGCGGAAAATTGGCCGGACCAACGCTTCAATACTTTACAAACAATCAGTGCCATTCATGGTTCATTCCATTTCATCTTCTGTGACCTTACGCCCCGTGGCCCAGGAGTGATTCATTTCTAATTTCGATATCACTATTCGTGTAGCCCCCCGAACCTGTAGATGCGCCCGCAATACAATCCTATTTGTACAGACATTTCCAATATAAAACTCTCATCCTTTTCTATGTACTTTGTTGAGCATCCTAGCCGTTGATATCTGCTGTCTATTAGTATTTGCAATCTTGCGTACCCCGCTCCACACGCCTGCACGTACCTGACTCTTCGTATTTTGACCCCTTACTGGCAGGCCCATCGCATGCCTCCTCCCACGGTAACTACCCATCGTCCTCATTCTTTCGATGTTATCCTGCAACCTTCGTTTCAATTCGGTCTCTAAAGGCATAGTGGACAGCTCAGCGGTCAGAGATGTGACCGTTTTTTGTGACAAGGAACCGACAGTCGCCGTGGGATGGATGTAGTGCTTGGCCATAATACGAGCTGAAGCTTGTTTCCCTAAGCCATAGAAGGACTCCAACGATTTCTACACACCATGAGTATGTGTACCAAGAATTGTAGCAGGCTCAATGGGAGTTGGATGGGGCCTTACCTTCACCAAGTTCCTCTCAGCGAACGAGACCCCCAAGATGAAAACCTGCAACCAATGTCAATACCAGAATAGAGAGAAAAGATCGGGACAAACATACCATATTCAAGAAGTTTTGATTATACTGGCACAAGGGATATACGTCTTCAATGTCTCTCACAGTTCTTAATCAATCATAAAGATGTGAAAGTTACCTATCAATTTTTGATAACGCACGGACTTCTTGTAATGACCCTCAAGCCTTCCTATTCCGAGGTTCGCACGTGCCATGTGGCGCTAAAGGTAATCGACACCTCTCCACAACACATAACTCGAGCTTCCTCTGAACAACATCACTTTGTTCTTCTCAGGTTTTTCTTGGAGGGCACATTATCTTCATTCTAAAAGTACACCTCATCAAGTCGATATTCAATTGACTTCCAAGATGCTCACACTTCAACGTTTTGTAGTCTCAGCACTACTCATCTTAACTGTTACCTTCCTCTTCTTCGCTCAAACGGCCGAAGCTGCCAAAGGACCAAAGATCACCCACAAGGTCTACTTCGACATCAGCCACGGCGATGAACCCATGGGTCGTGTTGTTCTAGGTCTTTATGGCAAAACCGTCCCTAAGACTGCCGAGAACTTCAGAGCTTTGGCAACTGGCGAGAAGGGATTTGGATATCAAGACTCCACTTTCCACCGTGTTATCAAGGGCTTCATGATTCAAGGAGGTGATTTCACAAAGGGTGATGGAACCGGAGGCAAATCAAGTAGGTTGCAAAGTCTGCGAGCGAAGTACGGGATTCTAACAATTGATAGTCTACGGAGCTAAGTTCCCTGATGAGAACTTTAAGTTGAAGCACTCCAAGAAAGGTCTTCTCAGCATGGCCAACGCCGGAAAGGATACCAACGGTTCTCAATTTTTCATTACTACTTCTACTCCCGGGTAAGTCATTTCTCGCAAGTCCTGCAATGGAACTTCATCATTCTAACACTCTGCATAGCCATCTTGATGGTAGACACGTCGTCTTTGGCGAAGTTTTGGAGGGATATGAGATCATCGAGGCAATCGAGAACGTAAAGAAGGGTGGATCAGATAGACCAGTTGAAGCTGTCAAGATCACCGAGAGCGGGGAATTACCAGTACCAGAAGAAGGTATCCACGTGGAACTCTAGAGTAGACTCCTTTTGCGGCATGCGAGCATGATTAGGAGGACTTACTGATTCGTCTGTCTTACGTGCTGTAGATGTGTACGGTACTGCTGAATTTCAACCCGGCATGGAAGAAGTCGAAGTTCCTCTTGCACCAACCGATCCTTCTACTCCTGCTGCTGCCACCGCAGTCATTCCAGTTGTTGGTACCCCACCAAAAACCGAGACAGAGGAGTTTGGCTATGCTGATGAGGCTGGTTACACTCTTATGCAAAAAGGATTATTTTTGGCTGTTATTTTAGGATGTGTGGCCTTCTACGTGCGAATGAATAGAAGAAGCAAGAAGTTTGAGAGGTCAATCGTCTAGTTACATAGCTTTGCATTTAAGATCACTCTTTACATATATTGCTGGTATCCTCTCAGTCTATTCGCAGTCTTATTTTCTATCCGATTCCTATCTCTAAACATGATATGGTACAACAAAAACAACTCTCGTGGATGCTTGATCCCTGTTAATCAACCCTAGACTCCAATAAATCTCCTATTACCAATACCCCCCACATTTAGACCAACTCTGATTTAGACCAAGGATCGTGTATTGCAGCGTCGATCGGTCGCACCAATGAATTTCTTGACCACACACGCCTTCTCAAGTACTTCAGGTTCCCATTCCACCCAGTATTCGCAGCTCTTACCAACTCTCTCGAGCCATGGTCCCAATGCCTTAGATGCCATTTCCACACCCCATCCCTGGATCATCACCGCTTCTTGGTTGTTCTTCACTGCGTAGTATCTAATTACAGAATTCCAATCCACACTAACACAGACAGCCCCTTCATGCCAGTCATCTAGATTGACCATACCCTCGAGTGCAGGTTCTGATGGGGTGGCATAGCCCTTAATCAGACTAGAAAGCAAACTGGATTCTTCAGTTACCCACATGACTTTTTGTAGACAATGTTCATATTCTACGCTCGCGGTCAAGCTTTGAATCAAAATGCACTTATCCATGTGATCATCCGTCCCACGACTACTTGGTCCAGTAGCGGTATCGCCTCTCCAATCACTCGGCTCTTCACGATCTGGGTCGTGAAGAACGGCATTTCCGCCAGGGAGGTAGGGATCCTCATGCTTTCTTGACACTCTCTCGCGTGCGTAAATGTACCCCGCGCGAGGTTTCTGCTTTCTGAGATTGTCGTCCCCTGTTAAATCAATGATTTCGTATCTCGCCTTCTTGTTATTTGTGTCTCCCTCGTATGACGATTCCCTCTTTGCAGAAACGGTCTGCTGATTGTTATTTGAAGTTTGTCCACATCGAGCAGCAGGTAAATATTTTCTTTTCTTGATGTAAGAAGACAGCTGCTTGTGCATGATCTCTCTATCACTCTTGCTGACCAGGAGGAAATCAGCTAAATTTCGAATGTTCTCCAAGTCCGCCTCGGTTGAAATGGCAGATCTCAACTTCTTTTGTCCCAGAAATCAACCAAACAGCTAGAGTATAGCCAAAGCTTATGAACAGGCCACTGTGCTATAGTGCCGTAGTTCATATTGGCGTCATGAAATTCCGAGGTTATGACATTGTGTATAAATACAATCTTTCCAGGCACCTTAATCTTCAGTTTGGTCGACCTTTCTGGGTCGTGACATATATCATCGTCATCTTTCACGCCTCCACCGATCTTTCCTTCAAACAACACGCGTAGCATAGGTATGGTGGAAAATATTGTATCCTCAGAAACCATAGTATAGTAAGTGCTAGGGTTCTCTTCCGTGCATCGGAAGGCTTGTATGATTAATGGTCTTTCGATTGAACCAGGAACCCTGGAATTGAAGACTCGGTTAACTTTCTCCATACTTTTGAATACTGTATCCTTTTGCTGCGATTGTGTTGGGATCGAACATACGGGTATTTTTGGATCATTAGGTTCCTCGCTTTCAAAACCATCGAAAGCTCCACTGGTAACCCTCCCAGGCTGGCTGGTTGATTCTGCATCAAGTGCCGGTGGTGATAGTGGCTCGATCAATGCTGAGGATGAAGCCACGTGAGAATTTGCAGGATTAGAGGACTCAACAACGCTGTTTTTCGTCTACGCCGTTGGATTCAGTCCTTAGTAACTTTCGTAGTTCAACAACTGCATTGCAATCGAGGTCAATTGATATGTAATCCTCGTTCGCGACAAATTCTTCGTAGTCGTTGATAAGTCGCCGCAATCGTGGTATTTCCTGGATTGCTCGATCACGGAGTCTCGAAATCTCCAAATGCAACTTCGACATTGTTATTGGTTTATTGTCCCGCACGGAGTGACACAATCTGGCTTTGTTATTCCTGAGCAGTGAGCTCTTCAGGTACCCACAAAAAGATGAGAAGTGTTGGTTTTAATGCAAAAACACAATGTAGATACTGAAAATGGAAAACAAAAGGTTGCAGAGAATATAGTCAACGAGAATAATTCACCGCGACTTGTTGGAAAACGATACGCGTGCCGAAATATTGATATCAGACGATATAACACGCTTGCCCTTCCCAGAACGTGAAAGAAAACGCCCGCTTGGTCAAATCAAAGTGAATGCAATACATCCTTAACATTTCATCTTCAAATACCAAAGTAAAGTTCCGATTATGGAGGATCACTCACCTCCGCTGCCTATCAGGGCGAAAGATACACAAAGTGTGGTTCAGAATGCGTTATCTAAACAAGATATCGACTTTCGTGCAGCTGCAGATGTTCACTCAGATCAAAAGATATTTGATGGAGCAGGTATGTGTTAGACTATCTCCATGGTCTTCATTTTCCAAATATTCTATTTTGACAGTCAGAAACTGATATCATTGCAGGTTCTCCCGAGCCTCTTTCTCATAATGTCCGAATAGAACCTGCTGCTGTCTTCAACGATGTTGCGTCCCAATCTCAACTCCCATTGCGACATGATAATAAGGAACAACAAAACTCCAATCGCGGTACGAGAATCAACCCAGACAAGTTGGGAATGAGCGCAGCGGGTTCGATCGACTCTCAACGTTCCCCGAAGAAGAAGCCAAATGGCCGCGTTCTCATTTGTGATATTCTTGGCCCCGATGGAACACCTTGGATGCCAAAGTTAGGCAGGTGCCGAAGAAAGAAACTACGGGCGCGTTCCTTGGCAAAGGTAAAGGAACAAATGGCTCTGGAAGAGCAACGTGCGGCTGAAAAGGAAAGGAAATATTCAGAAATAAAAGACGCGCTGTGATCTCTGCTTTAGGGAACATTGCGGCACGGAGCATGGATTTTAAGAATGGCAATGATAAGAAGTAATCCCGCGAGGAATCAAAACTCGATTATCTATGTGAGATCATCGTTTTAGTCACAACTCTTTAGCAATACGTATCTACGACATACTGGTACAATGTTCAAAGGTACTTCCATTATTCAAGCCAGCATACAGCCAAGATATAATGAGATAGTCAATTCTTCCCTCTTCCTGTAGTCAATCTGATCTCTTCGAAACATGTTTCATGAGGATGTCACCATATTATGTTCAATGAGTAACACAGCTTAGCTTCATCATAATAAATGACAGCATCTGAAGATAAGACAAATGTGAAGTAATCAACAATGTATGCACTTGATAAAAACAAAAACTTTCACGGTTTACTTTCGCATTATGCTCTACCTACTTCATTCTGATATATCTAACTTGAATGCAAGTAAAGCTCATTGTTTGAAGTCCACGACGAAAATATTAGAAGCGCAAAGATCTAGGTGGAAAAAAATCGAGCGGCAAGTGATACATATCAAATCAAGAGACGCAATCAATCCTCGGAAATCGCACTGCAAAAATGGTGGACGATGGACAAAGTTCTGGTGTGCCGCTCCCTGGATTAGTTTGATGTTATGATAGAGAAATTCATAGACGTAGTTGAAGTAAGAGAGAAGAGTGCTATTAGTACTGGAGCCACTACGAGACAAATGATACCAGGCCCTTGTGTGAGCTGCCCTAAAAAACGGATGGGGGGCTACTATTAAGGAAGAAACAGATGATGAGGGTTATATATTTAGACAACGTCACTTTATCAATAATCAGAACAAACATGTGGTGTGGCATACCTGTACTTAGGTTTCGACCGACCAGGCCCGCGCCGTTTGTCCCCGTAAATTGTAGATTTTTGCTCTTTTGTTCTTCCCAGAGTTGCCCCACTCTGTTTTATCCACTGTTTATTTTTCTTATAAGATTTCTGCTTCCTGTGGGCTTTTGCGCGTTTGCTGGTGATTTTTGCCCTTTTGATGTCACAGAGTTATTGTGGGCCCAGCTCGTCTAATGTTTCAAGCGAGATAATTGAAGCTAGCAAGCCAGGGAAAGGATGTATCTAATTGAATACTACCTGAGTACTTGCAAGGTAATACTTAATGTGTTCATTCATTATTCGGATCAGAGTGCACCCACTAATTCTAGGCCTCAGTATCCGCATATTTGTTGATACAAGTATCACTTCCTTCGGGTGTAAATTGGGGTTGCTGTTCGATTAGCTTCAAATGACGTCCTCCGTTAAGCCAGCTCTAGAGCTGCCATCCATATCTAAAGGACAGTACTTTTTTTACTCAAGCATTTATTGCTAACGCGCTTTGCAGGTTCGAGACTGACCGCGGAGGGAAAGGTATTACCTTTGGTTCATGACAACAGAGCTGTTATAATAGCTGGCAAAATTTTCCTGTTATAAAAGGAATAGGTACAGAAATACACAAAAGTTAAAACCTCAGCTTCATGGGCTAACAATACAACCGGAATCTCCGGCAGACCACAAGTGGGTGTATGGATTGACGGGAAACTAATGAAAAATTGGCTTGTAGATATTTCTTGATATATCATTTCAGATGTTTTGAAAATTGTCATTTTTCTTATACTAAAGATAAAACAAGAAAAATGTGGGTTCTAACATCAAACAATTGAAGAATAAATTTGTTAAAAATTTGGTCGAAATTTGAGAAGTGTCCCGTCAATCCATGCACCCACTGGTGGACTAGGCAGTGTCACTCCAATCTATAGTTCAATATGCGTAAACAGAAGAAAAGCCTCCACTTTAATCGAAAGCTCAGGTAGATACTAGTACACTCGTGAAGCAATGTTAATTGTTCTATGTCAAGCATATCCTGTCAAACCAGATGAGGCAGCCGGATATTTAGTACATTCTATTTGTAAAGACTACCGCATCTCATCTGGTCGTATCATATCAATTTTATCAGCTTCGAATCAGATTATTGATAATCTCAGGAATCAGGGGGATAGATCTCCCTAAGTGTTTGCTTTCTTGATCTCCACTTGAGTGTATAACTATACTTACCTGAATATCTTACGATTCTTAAATGAGTTAGATACTTCTATAGAAAGAACTTATAAGCTTAAGGTTAATCGTATTAAATTATTTTCTGTATGAACTATACCGTAAGTTTACTATTTCAAAAAACCAGATTATAATATACTCTCCGAAAACTAATATTAGAGGCTTTATATAGCTATAAAGTGCATCAAGAAGTACCTAGTAGTTAGTTTGCGTTGTGAGAAAAGAGAAACCTATCTCAAGGTAGGTAGTTTCAATTTCTTTAGGAACTCCTTCGCCTCGTCAATTGATCTTCCATCTTTCGAGTCCCATCTATCAGGCTCTTTAGGTTTATCCCATGGCGCACAACCGTGTGGCCAAACTACTTTGCTCTCGTCCTCAGCAGTCCACCATCCCCTACCACCAGCGAGATATATTTTCTCCCTCCTGTCCATAGATTCCTTTGGCGGTCGTGATCCTCTACCATTCTCAGCATCTTCCGTCATCTTCCATTCGTTCTCCATCACACGCAATTCTAGAAGCCGACTATGGTCCCACATCACATAACCCCATTCTCGCTCAAATTTATGCTTATCGCAAAAAACAAACTCAATACTGTTGAATAATTGGTGTGCCCACCTCCATACAAGTTCAGGTCCCTTGTCATCATCATCATCACACCATACAGACTTATTGACATATTTATCATCATCTTCGTTCGAATAATCCTCAAGCCAATGATACAATTCATCTTCCCCACTACCATCTGTGGAATTCCTAAGCCCATGATCAAGGAGATGTGACGAATGTTTCGGAGAATCTTGACAGTAAGCTTTGCAAATTTGTTCGTAGCTCTTTGCTTCTAGCATGTCACGGATTGCAAAAAGACCACGAGCGATTAGTGGCTCGATATATTCTGAATCGTCAAAAGAAGCGTACTGCATCCTGCGTTCGGCCCATTCCACATCATGGCCGACGAGCTCATCGAAGCCTACGTCGATGTGTTAGTCCTTTGATTAAAAAGTATTAAAAAGAAAATGCACTCTACCAGGAGCAATGATGCGAAACATATAATCGTGAACGCAAGCTAACTGTTCATTCTCCCAGACCGAGAAATGATTGAAGAAGATTCTGTTCTGATCCAAATTTAAATGATCGCTAAAACCCCCGTAAAATACACAACAATAGATTTGAAAGTGGTAGAAAGTTCGTTGAATTCTCCTTTTTTCCTCATCTGAGGCAGGAAGTTGCCACATAGCTATTGGGATGTTTTTTGTGAAAATTGAAGATGCAAAGGCTTTCGAAATAAAATCGTTCGTGAAATAAACAACATGGAAATGGAGTTTACTCAGGAATAGCGCATCACAAAGTCTCAAATTGGAATAGGCTTTAAGCTCGATATTTCGACCATTCTCGACAAAATAATTATCGTATTCGTCGAGGACATCATCTCTGACAGGTGCCTGGCGTGAAATTGAAGCAGTTAAAAGTGCTTCGGATAGAAACTCAGAGCCTATCTCATCAGTCAGGACTTGCTTAAGAATCAATTGCTCTGCTGAGAGGAAAGCGATGTATGTGGCTTTGCACGTGAGAATGATGGACAATAGATCAGGGACGTTTTCGGTGAGACACTGAATAGCTTGTATTGCTTCAACGGGAAGTAACTCCAGCATGCTCTTTGATTCTTTCATATTGTATGGTTCAAAGTTGGATCATGTAAGTTGGTATACATATAGTTATGGTTTTAGGTGAGTGAGGTGAGTCAATCAGGATTGTGACTCATCACAACCGCCATGCTAAAAATTATGTCATAAGGCTCAAGGCACCACCAGGCACATATCTTACGTATCCTTGGATGTCAATTCGTGTAATACTTTTGGTCTTATCTGATTCAATTGCCTCGAATATATGTCGATTTCTTTCTAAGATTCAAGCAACCATTAATATTAATGCCGTCCCAACACTTCCGATTACCCATTAA